CCAGCGAGGTGCTTGTGCCTTCCAGGAGTGCCAAGCTGGGCTGGAAAGGGGGAGAGGAGACACTGATGCCCTTGGGGCTGCATGGGAGAGGCTGCAACGTGCAGCCTTGTGCTGGAACATGGTGTGGTTTGACGGCATCAGCTGGTGGGAGCTGGTCAGAGAGCTGGCAGGGACTGTGCTGTGGGGTGGCCTCTGCAGCAGTGGCACAGGATGCCTCCTCTTCCTCCTCCTCCTCTTGGTGCACCACAGTGACACACTGTGACTTTGCTGGTGCTAGGGAGCCCAGATTGGGGTGCTGGCTGCAGCTGGGGGTCCCTCACACAAGGTGCTGGCACACAGGGAGGCCCGGCTCTCCCACAGGCCCCTCTAAGCTCCCTGGAATGTTTCTGGTCCTAATTTAAATAAAAATGATCCTTTTTGAAACAGGAAATTATAGGCATATTTTGGGCTGTTGCTCTGGAAGCCCCTCCCTGGCTGGAGCAGGGTGGTGCTGGGCTCTCTGTGCCCTATGTGGGGTTGAACCCCCTCACAGGGTCTGTGCTGGGTCACCCTTGTCCCCACAGACCCAGCTGGGCAGTGCCAGCACCCGCTGCCTCTTGGGGGGCTCTCAGTGCTCTGGGGTGACAGGGGACAGCTGGTGGCACAGCGTGGCCGGGCATTGGGGCTGGGGTGAAACCCCCTCCGTGTCCCAGCCTTGCTCCCAGTGTGGGGCAGCTGGGCTGGCTCAGCTCCACACTTTGTATTTATTTATTTACTGACTGAATTCCTCAGGCAGGGCCCAAGCGTGCGCCGGCCCAGCAGAAATATTCCAGAAATATTCCAGAAACGCCTCTGACCACTCCAGTGCTTCAGCAGGGCCACAGGCATCCAGTGGCTGTGCTGGCTGACCTTGTGTGCCACTGTCCACGGGCACACAGGTCCCTGCAGGTCGCTGTGCCCAGGGTGCCATGGCATGGCTGGGTTCCCCGTGTCCCACCAGGGTGGGAGTGTGGGACTCTGGTCATGTCAGGGGCATTTTAATCATTTTTCTGTGCTTGGCAAGTTCTTTATTTGGCTCCTTTTCTGCTCTCACTGAGGGTTTGGTGCTGCTGTGGTGTCTCAGTGTGTTGGGGTCTTGGGAGGTGGCTTGTATCCAGTGGGCTCAGCCATGGGCCAGTGTGTGTGTGCTGAATTTCCTGGCTTAGGAATGAGAGAAAAATGCTGGCCAGGCAGAAATGCTGCTGTCACCAAAAAGCTGGGCTGGGTGGAGGTGGCTGCATGCCTGTGCTACCTGGGGACACCTGTGTCACTGCAGGCACTCTCTGCTGTGTTATGCCAGCCCTGCCAAGGGTGTTTGATGTGGCCTGTCCCTTGGCAGTAGGGTGTGCCAGGCTGTGCCCCTGCTTCCTCTGGGAATGTTTATTTGCTCAGGGCACATCTGTCTCACTTTGGTTGGGCAGGGACCTGCTCAGCTGCCAGCTGGGGTCCCAGTGTGCCATGCCTGTGTCACCGCTGCTCCTCCATGCCCCTGACCCTCATCCCCTTGTCCACTGCCCCACTCCCGCTGTTTCCAGGGACACCTTGAACTTCCAGAGGCAGTTTTGCCATGAAAACACCTTTACCATGTGTTGCTGGGGTGCTCTCTGTCCCCAAGAACATTTTGGGGGGATCTGGTGTTGATGGCAAAGCCAGAGGAGGAGCGAGAAACGTCCGGGTTGCACCGCCTGGCACCACAGCAGGCACTCAGGGGTGTGGATTGTGCAAGCCCATCCTGTGAGGCACAGAGCCCTCCCTGGCCCCCCCAGCTCCACAGCTGCACTGGGCCCGGGGGTGTCTGTCCCACTCTGCGTGCGGACGGTGCAGGGAGGCCGGGCAGTTCCTGGAGCCCACATCACTTCCTCTGGCAGCGGTGACGGTGACGGTGCTGCTGGTGCCGAGGCCCCAGTGTCCCCCCCGGCTCTCCCTCCGGCTGCTGCTGCTCCTGCCGGCGGGGCCCTCGCATTCCTGGGCTATTTTTAGGGTGGCCCTATCAGCCCAGCTGTCCCCGCTGCCGGCTGCCGCCCCTCCGGTGCCTCTCCCGTGCGGTGCCGCGCTCGCCCCGGCCGAAACCCTTCTCCTGCTCCCTCTGGTAAGGTGGGAACCCCAGCGTGGCCAGCACGGCTTGGGGGAGCACGAGGGGGGTACCTGGGAGATGGTTCTGGTGCTGGGATTGGGGATTGAGAGGCTGAACCCACCCCTAGGGTGTTTTGGGATTGTTTGTGGTGGGGACCTTGTGGCCGGTGCTCTCTGGAGAGCTTTGTGGCAGTGCCAGGCTGCTTGGAGGTGGGAGTGCTGTGGGCAGAGGGTTTGGGGGTTCTGACCCACAGGTGGGTTTGTCTCCAGACCCCCATGCTGGGATTTCACACCATGGTGACAGTTTGGGGGGACAGGGATGTTCTCCCACACTGCTGGGTTGCTTTGGTGCTCCCCTGTGCCACATCTGGCCCTGAGAGGGGGCTTCTCCCCAGTGGCCCCAGGCACAACCTGGGGTTGGACAGTGGGTGCCATCCAGGGCAGCAGGTCCCACTAGGGCTGCCTGGACTCTGGCACGGGGTCAGGCTCAGAATAAACCCAGGCTGTCAGGGCAAGCAGGGAGCTGGGGCAGAAAATATCCCTTCCCTCACCCTGGCATTTGCTTACCACAGCGGGCTGGCCCCCTCAGGGGAATGGGGCCACGGTCCTACAGCCTGACTAAGGGGGTTTTTTTTACTCAGTGAGTTTTGCTGGATCTCAGACTGGTCACCTGTCTGTCCCCAGAGCCCCCTGTGGGCGCTGTTTGTTTGCTGAGCAGGTCCAGGTGGGCTCAGACCCCCATTCCTGAGGATCCCAGGTGGGGAAGGGCACGTGCCTGTGCCCTGGGCTGTGGTTTGGCATTCTGTGTGCTGTCCCAGTCAGTCTCACCTCTCCTCTCTCCCCAGCCAGGGCTGCAGCTCCATGAGACATCACCATGGCGTTCTCATCCCGGTTTGCGTTCTGGGAGCAGAAGGGAAGTGTCTCTTGCATGTTTGCCTGTACCCCACGTTTGGGTCACGCTGCTGACCAGCTCCCCCCAGTTCACGCAGTGCTGGCACCGTGTTTGGAGCAGCACTCACTCCCAGCCTCACTGTGCTGCTGTGACAGGGGCTGTGCTGGGCAGCTGGGAGCTTGGCCAGGGCTGGTGTCACCAGCACAGCCATGCATGTGATCACTAACACCATCACTAACGGCTTTGTGAGTGTCTGGTGCTGCCCCTAACACAGTGTGAGCCACCCCAGTGCCACCTGCCACCCAGGAGCTGCTCTGTGGTGGCATTCAGGGTGTGCTGCCCACAGGATGCACCACTGCAGTGTCACAGCCAGTCCTGGCACTCAGTGGCTCAGCCCAGGGCAGGGTTTGGCTGCCCACCCCCCCAGAGGCCCCTGGTTGCCCCGGGTCAGCAGGGATCTGGCATGTGCCACGTGCTGCAGAGATTAGCTGGTGACACTTAAAACGTGCTGTGACACCGGCCGGGGGTGACGTGTACAGTGACAGAATCCTGCAGGAGGGGTGGTGGCACTCTGAACCACCTCCCTCACTGGCTGCTCATGGTGAGAGGGCCCAGGCCAGGCAGGCAGAGCACCTCTCCCACCTTTGGGGTTTGCTGTAACTAGGGTGCATCTCTGTGCTTCACCCCCTTTTTTTGGCTGATGGGAAGCCTGGGAGAACACACATCATTGTCCCTGCAGTGGCCAGTAAATTTGGGCTAGCATGGAGTGATGGTCCCAGGAGGTTTTCCTGCAGCAAGGCCCCACAGCGGGCTGAAACATGCTCCTCTTGTTTGTCTGACCCTCAGGTCAAGGACGAGGACAAATCTTTAGCTGTGAAAAGACCCGTGAAGGAGGACGGGGCTGTAAGTGTCACAGGGCACGGGCAGGGTGGAGCTTTTGGGGATGGGGCTTGTCCTTGGTGGGAACAGCCCCTGTGACAGGGTCTGGGGACACCATGCAGGGTCATGGGCTTAGTGATGCCCTGAGCGCTGAGTTTTTCCCCCATGCTGTCAGCCTGAGGGTTGAATGGTCACTGTTTGTGGGGCAGGGAGGTCACCACTGCTCCCTGCCCTGGGATCCGCTGTGGGGCTGTAGTTTGGTGGGGAAGGGTGCTGTGGTGATTATTGCAATACCCAGTGCTGGGCTCTGGCCAGGAGCTGTGCTCCATGGCAGGGCAGAGCCCCAAACAGCAGTGGAGGCTGGCCCTCCACTCACACCGCTCTCATTGTGGCTGCAGTCAGAGAGCCCGAAGGATGCAGCATCTGCACCCCCCAAAGCTGAGCCCCCGAAGGCTGAACCCCCAAAACCTGAGCCTGTGAAGAGCCCCGAGCCCGCGAAGAGCCCCGAGCCACCTCCTGGCAGAGGGAAGAGCCCGGAGCCGGTGCTGAACGGGGCAGCAGAGAACGGGCTGGAGGGCGCAGCCCCCGAGGCACAGGGCGATGACGGCCAGGGGCTGTCCCGCCGCAAGGTGGTGCGGGTGGTGCGCAAGGTGGTGCGCAAAGTCCTGCCCGGGGAGGACGCTGGCACTGCCAAGGAGCCAGGCCGAGATGCCAAGTCTCCTGAGCCGGTGCCACCCCCGAGGAAGGAGGAAGGAGGGCGTGCTGCCGTCCCAGCTCCCCCAGCCCCGCCGCCTCCCCCCGCCGTGCTGCCCGCAGCCCCTGCCAAGCCGGAGCCCAGGGATGAGATCTCAGAGGGGCTCAAAACCCTCATGGCCAAGGGCAAAACCAAGGAGCACCGGCCGCGGCTCCGGCCAGGGGACAGGCAGGAGAAGCCCCATGAGCCTGCTGGTGGGGACACAAAGCTGTCCCCGTCCCCGGGCGCTGAAGCCAAGCCAGAGTCACCAGTGCAGCTTTCAGGAGGGAAAGCGGAGCCGGCAAAGGCGTCTGCTCAGAAACCCACAGCCCTGGAGAGGCACAAGGTACCGGTGTGTGCAATACAGGGGAGGCTCTGACCCCCAGAGAAGCATGGTGTGAGCTCACCTGCATGGTTTGCAGTGGTTTTCAGATGTGTGGTGCGGGTGGGAGTCACTTTTTTGGGGCAGCTGTGTGTGCTGTGGCCACTCCATCATGCTGCCCCTTGTCTCCCCTCCATTTCATGTGGAGAAGAAGCTGCAGACCAGCGAGAAGCGGCAGACCCCTGTGAAAAATGCCCCGGCTGTCCCCCAGCAGGTGTGTAGGATGGTGACACAGGTCCCTGGACACTGTGGGTACACACTGGGACCCAGCTGTGCCTTCACCCTGGGACCCGCCCCAAGCACTGATGGGCTGCAGGGCTGGGAGGGCCTTTGCAATGGCCCTGCTGGTGCCCATGTGCCAGGACTGTGAGGGCTGTGGGACAGCTGGCCTGGAGCTAATGGTGCTCTGCCTCCAGGCTGCCCCTGGCCCTGCTTCCCCTGGCCCTGCTTCCCCTGGCCCTGCGTCCGTGCTGAGCCCATCTGAGGAGGCGCAGCTCCGGCTGGAGAGGATCTTCACCACTTCTGTAACTCCAGAGGTGTTGGTGCTTGCGTGTCGCACTCTCAGGGATGGGGAGGCATGGGCAGCCTGTGGCTGCCCCAGATATGCCATGTGCTCTGCACACAGTGACTGTACCCCTGTGTCTGGCTGCCAACCCCACGGTCCATCTGTGGGTGACACTGGCAGCAGGGAATGGATGACCAGGGCTGTTGGTGGGTTTGGGAATCGTCGCCCAGACTGTGCTGGGGATGGGGAACTGCCTGCATCCCTGCAGGTGCTGAAGCACACTGTGGTGGCTGGGATGGATGATGCCCTGGTGCTTGCTGTGTGATCATGGCCATGCTGGGGCCCTGTGGCTTGTCAGGGTGCTGCTTCTGCTCTCTGCCTCTCACCCCCTCTCTTCTTTCTCTCCTCCTTCCTTGCTGCCGTTAGCTGGACCCCGCCGCCTCCGCCTCGGCACCCAGCCAGGTACTGTACCCCCGTCCTCAGGAGCCCTCTGCCTCCACCAGCGACCCCCTGCCATCCTCTGTGTGCCTCTGGGCTGGCGTCTGCGCCCGCGCCTCCTGCTGGAGTGTAAGGCTTCCCCCATCCCACCCTGCTCCGTGGGCTGCCATGGGGCCAGCGGGGCAGCCGGGGCTGGGTGCCTCTCCCCACCCCAGCAAGGTCATTCGGGAAGCCAGACGTCCCAGGAGGGTGCCCTCAGTGGAGGTGGCACAGCTGGGGCGGGCAGGGGTGTGGAGCAGGGTGTGAAGGGGCAGAGTGCTGGCATAGGCAGGATGCATGGCTCGTGCCGGAGCAGCTGTGGCACGTGGTGCTGGCAGAGCTCAGAGCGGGGTCAGTGCAGTGACCCCCAGCCCCAGGGCTTTGGCAGCACGGCCTTGTGGCTAATGTGCTTCCACCCTGCTGCCCACAGTGGTGGCCGTGGCATGAGGAGTGCCCACAGGGCTTGGCACAGCGGTGCTTTGCCCCTGCTTGCTCCCCATCTCCTCTTTCCGTGCTGTGTGTGGGGCAGGGCTGAGCCCTTCTCGCCTTCAGCGCCTCTCTCGGCCTCGCCAGGGTCCAGCGGACGATGCGCCGGCAGCTCCCCTTGGCCCCGTCCCTGCTGCAGCTCAGGTTTGGCTTTGGAGCTCGTCCTGCTCTCCTTGTGCCAGGGACATCCCCGCTGTGCTGGCCACCAGCCTGGCATTTCCCATGGCAGAGTCCTGTGCCATGTCCTGTGTCACTCCATTATGTGCCTCAGTGTGTCCTGTGTCCCTACAGCATGTCCTTGCAGCATGTCCCATGTCCCCATAGCATGTCTGGTGTCCCTGCATCCTGACATGTAGCTGGCTGCTCTCAGGGCTGTGGTTTGGGAGCTTGGCCCCTCTAGGTTCACCCGAGGTGGCTGTAATGGGTGTTCCTGTGGGTCACTGTGTCTTTATGTCTGCCCCAAGCTGTGGCAGGGCCCTGGTGGTCTCTGCAGCCCTGCACCCACTGGGATCCCCAGCGGGCAAAGTGGGGACATACTGGGAGGGTTTGTGCCTTGTGGAGGTGGCCTGGCTGTACAGTACGTGCCCCTGTGGTCAGTCAGCCCTGCTCCCTCCAGCCCCAGGGATGAGGGGAGGGGGTGAGGCAGGGCAGGGGACAGGTCACCACAGCCTCTCCACATCTGCTGTCCCACAGGCCAAGACAGAGGAGCAGATAGCAGCTGAGGAGGCCTGGTACGAGACCGAGAAGGTGTGGCTGGTGCACAGGGATGGCTTCTCCTTGGGTGAGCACTGCTGGGACACAGCACCCCGTCCTTCCTGTGGCACAGTGAGCCCCCCTGACCCCCC